AAGAGAGACCTGTTGCGCTCTTCGCCGATTTGCAATGCACCTGGATTTCAACATCGTGCCCACGATACACTGCTGCACAGCTGAAGACCGTCACTTACAATGCACTGCTTCACTGTCTTCCGAAAAAAGTCTTGTAATCTGTACTAGCTGGACTTTAGAATTTCTTCGCGAGAGTAGGATCTGTTATCTGCCGACAGCAGGGATTTTGTCATGCAGTATTAATTGGTCCGCAGGCGAAATTTGAGTTCCTCGTTCTTAGCGGGAACCTGTATCACGTCTTTAGTTTGCCCGCAATTTTCACTGTGATTTTCAGAAAGCGAGGGAAGCTTTGACCGAGTCACAAGTTTAAATAAGCGGTGGTCTTGTCAAGACCGTCAAGGCTTCTGATCAGCTTTCCTGTGCGCTTTTCCAAAAATGTGGTTTGCTGAGTTGCCAAGTATGGCGTGCACTACTTAACGGAAAAATGTTGTTATAGTTATAGCGATAAGCACAGAGTGTTATTATTCGCATCTGAATCGAATTAATCAGTTTCATAGAATAGCACAGTATTCAGGTTTATTCTGTTAATGCCTATGTCTTAAATTTTAGTCTGATGAAAGTTAGAACAGAAGTTGTTTCATTAAATGTTATCTACCTCTTGATCTTATGATAAATATTAAATGTGCTTCAAATTATTTCTTAATGTGCCTAACTTTTAGGCGAAGATGTCCAAATTCGATTGGACGGCAACGGTAAAACCCTTGTTAGGTGCGACTTACAAGGCACTCAGTTCCAGTGACTTATTGAGGATTGTTGAGATCATCGGAGCAAGGTTTGTCACGACGTTTCTCATGTTTTTTGCATTGTTCGTTTGTAGCCGAGAGGAGATTTTGGAACACGATGCCGAATTCGAGCCATTCTATTCGTCTTTCGTTGCGTTGTCGATTCATTACCTTTGCGCAGCAGCATCCACAAGTACGTTGAATCATGACCATACTGTACTGACGAAATGCTTTAATATGCATGTTTTTTTCTGTATGTAGTATATTGTTATTTCTTATTTGTGCAGTGAACACCGCGATTCACCTAGTCGTTTTACGTAACTTCAAACAGTTTTGAAAAAAGTAGGCGCAGATATTGTCGGGATGAACATTAAAATCGAATGGAGTAGTTATTCGCTTCATAAAGTTCATGTGAACTGTTTCAAATGGTTTGCGCTTTAACTTTGGAACCACTTTTTATTGAATGAATGGCCAAATCAGTATTTTTTACTGAACGGAATCACCAATAAATACCATGTTCAGTCAATTTCTATGACCGTTTACCTTTTTGGTTTGCATGGGCAGATGCGTCAGATAATGTTTCTAACGTTCCCGTTCTTGTGCCAGCGTTTCAGCTTCGGCAGAACATAGTCTGTAGCAGAATTTATCGAGCTAGTTCCTCCAGGTCATTCGTGTCCTTTTCTTGGGTCTTCATCCAGTCGGTTGAGCAATTAATAGCATGCAAAGAGAGCTTTCCTTTCTGGAAGCATTGGCAAGACGTACCCAGGCCCATCGCTGCTGT